AGAGCTTTCAGGTGTTTAGGAAGCTTTTCTGAATGGAGGCCTCATTCTTGGAGGCCATCAGAGTAATTGAAGACTATGGAAGGGTAGCAAGACTGACTACCAGCAACACAAAATCTGAAGCAGTGCACCTGAATTGATGTACAGTTGAGAATACAGGCGCATTAAAATCTTGGATGTATTCATGCTTTTGCTTTTTCATCCCCTCCTCCTCCTCGTAGTCTTTCCTCCTCCTTTGCATGGCTCCCTGGAGCTCTTCAGCCTTCCTGATTGGCAAGGCTGCTTGAAGGCACTTCCTGGAACGCCCAGTGGAGGACCTTAGGCCATGACATCATCCCATGAACATACCAGGAAATCTGGACAGCTGTGTGGGTGTTCTTGCTTTCTTTTTCTTTTTTTAAACACACACAATCATTTATGTGCCACCCCTTGGCTTACCCATACTTCCTGGCATGCCTGTGAAAGAACATCCTGATGTAATGTTCCCTGACGGGAATTTGAGCCGGGAAAGGATACGGAGTGCTGGAGAGTGGCACAATTAAAATATATATAAAGTGATTGCACCCACACCCCTTAGATGTAAATGATTAAAGTAAGCATATAGCCACCCTCACTTCTCACCTCCTAAAATTTCACCATAGATTCTACTGCTCCTGCAAAAGAGGCAGGGGAAAATAGACTTACTAAGGTCTGTATAGTAAAAGCTATGGTTTTCCCAGTAGTGATGTATGGAAGTGAGAGCTGGACCATAAAGAAGGCTGATCGCCAAAGAATTGATGCTTTTGAATTATGGTGCTGGAGGAGACTCTTGAGAGTCCCATGGACTGCAAGAAGATCAAACCTATCCATTCTTAAGGAAATCAGCCCTGAGTGTTCACTGGAAGGACAAATTCTGAAGCTGAGGCTCCAATACTTTGGCCACCTCATGAGAAGAGAAGACTCCCTGGAAAAGACCCTGATGTTGGGAAAGATGGAGGGCAGAAGGAGAAGGGGGCAACAGAGGACGAGATGGTTGGATAGTGTTTTTGAAGCTACCAGCATGAGTTTGACCAAACTGCGGGAGGCAGTGGAAGACAGAAGTGCCTGGCGTGCTCTGGTCCATGGGGTCACGAAGAGTCGGACACGACTAAACAACTAAACAACAACAACAGTTCCCCTCTGCTGGAGCAGGTTGGCTTAAAACTTCTTAACATAATTGTCAGGAACTGCCATCGGCTCAGAGGCGAGGAATAGAATGGGAGTTGTGTTACAGGGAACCTCTGAAAATCTTGTGAAGCAGTTCCTCTTCCGGGGAGGAGGAAAGCCCCACTTCTAGTGGGGAAGAGGTGCAAGGACCAGAGGATGCTTGTGGGAGCCTTAACACCACTCCTGGGCAAGGTGGACAGGAGGGAAACACGCCCTTGCCATCGCCCATCCTGCGCAGTAGCCTAAGGCACAAAGAGGGAAGGAGAAGTTTGGGGGTAACGAAACTCTTATGTTGGGGGGAGGTCCAAAAAAAGACCACTCCCGGATTCTGCTAGCAATTGAGCTTTGGGGCTCTTCACTGTAAATAGTCTGCACCAAAATAAAAACCTGTAAAACACAGGTTTGGAGTCCTGCCTGGTTACTCTCGAGCAGTGGCGTAGCGTGGGGGGTGCAGGGGGGGCCGGCCGCACCGGGCGCAACATCTGGGGTTAGGGCAAATCCACAGGTTAGGGGGCGCAAATCCACGGGTTAGGGGGCGCAAATTACTTGCCTTGCCCCGGGTGCTGGCAACCCACGCTACGCCACTGCTCTCGAGCAACCGCAACAGCCATCTTACAATAATCATTATTAATATCAGTGTTGTTGTTTTTTAAACGGGGTACTTAAGGGTCACAGTTCTGGCTCCTTTCTTTTTTTGTTATTAAAAATGTGTGGCACTTACTGTAACAATTTCATGGTGAGTACTGGCACCTATTTTTCTAGGAAAAAACTATTTTGTATTATTTTTATTTGTCTGTCTGTCTGTTTATTATATTTCTGTATCACCCTTCATCCAATGATCATAGGCCAGCTTACAATATAAAAACACAAAAATGCACACCATAGTAACAGACAGAAACAATTACCCCTCCCACAGTTTTAAAGGCCATAGATTGTTTCATTAGCCAAAGGCTTTGGGGAAGAGGAATGTTTTTGCCTGGTGCCTAAAGGTATGTAAGGATGGCGCCAGGTGAGCTGCTATGGGGAGAGCATTCCATAGGCATTGGATGGGTGGTGCCCATTGGTATTTCTGAAATACCTCCATTGGTATTTTCCATGATCAATTTTTTGGTGAGCGACTTTTACCTATTTCCCCTAAAGAAAACCCAGCATTTTGGACCTACCCCTCTAAGAAAAGGTCAACAGCTTTGACTTCCCTCCCCTACAGCAAGCTCAACAACTTTGACCTGAACCCCCCAGATCACTGCCAGTTTTTCCCCCTGTGAGTAGATCGCAGTCTCTTGGGAGTTGGACGTCCCTGATATATAAAAAGGTAAAGGTACCCCTGCCCGTACGGGTCAGTCTTGCCAGACTCTGGGGTTGTGCGCCCATCTCACTCAAGAGGCCGGGGGCCAGCGCTGTCCGGAGACACTTCCGGGTCACGTGGCCAGTGTGACATCGCTGCTCTGGCGAGCCAGAGCCGCACACGGAAACGCCGTTTACCTTCCCACTAGAAAGCGGTCCCTATTTATCTACTTGCACCCGGGGGTGCTTTCGAACTGCTAGGTTGGCAGGCACTGGGACCGAGCAACGGGAACGCACTCCGCCGCGGGGATTCGAACCTCCGACCTTTCGATCGGCAAGCCCTAGGCACTGAGGCTTTTACCCACAGCGCCACCCGCGTCCCTCCCTGATATATAGGATTGTACTATAGGAGTGTTGATCTATGATATAGATTTGATCCCAAAGAGGACAGGACTTCCAAGATAAACACACTTGATTTCTTACATTCTATTGTCATCTTTGGTCAAGTCGGTTTTGCACATTTTTGAAGTGCTAGAAAACACCACAAACAAGTATTACTACTGCTGCTGTAACTTATCCTTCATCAGCAGGTGCCAGGTTACAACAATTTAAAGTTCAGAATTAAAAACACTTAAAGACATATTGCTTTCACAAGAATGGCTGAGTCCTGAAACACATGTCTCAGGTATCAAAGGCCAGAATTTTAAAAATGTGAATTTTCTGATTAACCATTTTCACTGGAAAAATGTATCCACAACCGAACATACGTATTTTAAAGAATACGCTCCCACTCCTTTCATCTCTCCCAAAATGTATCCTGTCTGTCTCCAGTATTAGATCCACTGGCCAATATTTCACCTACACTTTAGTGAGAATGTTTCTCTTACTTGACACTTACGGATGTGTCCTAAGCCTCTGTCACCAGAGAAGCAAATGACTAAACAGAAATCCCATTGGTAGCAGTGAAAATCTCGACCACCACTCATTTCTTCCTGCTATTGTGTCACGCTGCTTTCATGGGAAACTAAAAAACAGGAAGTGTAAACAGAAACTAAGGGATAAAGGGGAAAAAATCTGTTGTGCACATTAAGCGGTAAGCTGTGAGGGTAAAACAATATTTCTTCATGAAAACCTGGTGCAACATGTTTTGGGAAGGCTTTGCAGTCTGTAACAAAGTGTACTGTGTTCATTGTACTTTTTAGGGATGAACATGTAGACAAATAAAGCAGTGATTTATTGCATCTCTGTATCTTTTCTCAACAATCTAAATTATTGGGTAATGCCCTTGACAGGAGAGAGAGAGAGCAAATAAATTGGTTTCGTATTTATAAACAGGGAAGTATATCAGAAAAGGTTAAGGGGTTGCAATTTTGCTTGTTTTATGTTTGTCAGACACTCCCTCTCTGTGTGGGCTTATTGTTAAGAATGCAAGTTCTAACCAATATCATAAATTATAATGATTTGCCTTAAAACCATGGTATTTATTCCCAATAGAATTGAAGAAACAATGACTAGATTTATTTGAAGATAAATGGCATTAATTTAATCTGAGCGCCAGACAAAACAGCAAACAGACTAGCAGATAGCAAATAAATAAATAAATGAATGAATGAATGAATGAATGAATGAATAATAAATTAAAAAATCCAGTGTCAAGGTGACTGATACCAATTTTACCCAATTTTACCCAATTTCAGTCTATGTGTGTGATGTTAGGCCATTTCCCACTCTGGCTACAAGGACAGTGGCTGTCAAGGTCATGAAATAATTTTGAGAACAATTCTTATATGACTTTCTTTAAGAGCTGGTCCTAGATTTTGTCCTCAGGAAGGCATTATTTTGCAAACAGGTTGTTCAGATCCGTGTGTGTGTGTGTGTGTGTGTGTGTGAGAGAGAGAGAGAGAGAGAGAGGATTGTGCAATTGGCTCACAAATGCCCATACCTCCCAGTTTTTTCAGACAACACACTAATAATTAAATAATAATAATAATAATAATAATAATAATAATAATAATAATAATAATAATAATTTATACCTCGCCCATCTGGCTGGGTTTCCACAGCCAGATGGGTGGCTTCCAGCAGAATATTAGAATACAATGATTCACCAAATATTAAAAGCTTCCCTAAACAGGGCCTTCCTTCAGATGTCTTCTAAAAGTCCGATAGTTGTTTATTTCTTTGACATCTGATGGGAGGGCATTCCACAGGGCAGGTGCCACTACCAAGAAGGTAATCTGCCTGGTTCCCTGTGACCTCACTTCTCGCAGTGAGGGAACTGCCAGAAGGCCCTCGGAGCTGGACCTCAGTGTTTGGGCTGAGAGATGGGGGTGGAGACACTCCTTCAGGTATACTGTTCCAAAAACAATTTTCTTTGTGGCATAGGAGGCTGCTATTCATGAACACAAGGCCTTCAGTGCCTGCAACACAGAAAACCATCTTATGCTGATAATATTTATAGACATTACCTGCCCTTCTCCAGAAGGTCCCAGGCTGGGTTACAGCAATAGGAAACACAGCGTTAAATTGCAATTCCCTCAGCTGTGGGGTACCAGCCTACTCTAGCAACTGATATGGGTACCATGCAAGAGAGAATCACAACAACTCGGAAGGGATCTATCACATCTGCGCAGGCGATTTACATACCAGCTGATGACTTAACTGATCCAGCCCCTGCGACTACATTTGCCCACTTCGCTGCCACCACTGTGTTGTCTCGTGCCATTGCTAAATTGGGCATTTACCCAGCTGTGGATTCTCTAGATTCCACCTCTCGTATCATGGATCCCAATATCATGGGGCAGGAGCATTATGATGTGGCCCGTGGGGTGCAAAAGATTTTACAGATGGTGACAGCAGCCACGAAATTAAAAGACGCCTGCTTCTTGGGAGAAAAGCAATGACAAACCTAGACAGCATCTTAAAAAGCAGAGACATCACATTGCCAACAAAGGGCCGTATAGTTAAAAGCTATGGTTTTCCCAGTAGTGATGTATGGAAGTGAGAGCTGGACGATAAAGAAGGCTGATCGCTGAAGAATTGATGCTTTTGAATTACGGTGCTGGAGGAGACTCTTGAGAGTCCCATGGACTGCAAGAAGATCAAACGTATCCATTCTTAAGGAAATCAGCCCTGAGTGCTCACTGGAAGGACAGATCGTGAAGCTGAGGCTCCAGTACTTTGGCCACCTCATGGGAAGAGAAGACTCCCTGGAAAAGACCCTGATGTTGGGAAAGATGGAGGGCACAAGGAGAAGGGGACAACAGAGAACGAGATGGTTAGACAGTGTTCTCGAAGCTACCAGCATGAGTTTGACCAAACTGTGAGAGGCAGTGGAAGACAGGAGTGCCTGGTGTGCTCTGGGCCATGGGGTCACGAAGAGTCGGACACGACTAAACGACTAAACAACAACAACAAGTCCCTCTAGGACATCATTGCTATTTTGGGTATGGATGAGTTGTCTGAAGAGGATAAGCTTACTGTGGCTCGTGCCTGTAAAATTCAGAGGTTTCTGTCCCAGCCCTTCCAGGTTGCTGAAGTTTTCACTGGCCATGCAGGCAAGCTGGTACCCCTAAAGGAAGCCATCAAGGGCTTCCAAGCAATCCTGGCAGGACAGTATGACCACTTCCCTGAGCAGGCTTTCTACTTGGTGGGGCCTATTGAGGAAGCTGTGGCAAAGGCTGAGAAGCTGGCTGAAGTGCGCTAATGAGTCTGTGGCTGAGGGCAAAATTGTTCTGCATCAAACTCTCCATTGGTTCATATTGTCCAGGTTCCCAACTGGGAAGTCGTGTAAAAAGGTAAAGGTACCCCTGCCCGTACGGGCCAGTCTTGACAGACTCTAGGGTTGTGCGCCCATCTCACTTAAGAGGCCGGGGGCCAGCGCTGTCCGGAGACACTTCCGGGTCATGTGGCCAGCGTGACATCGCTGCTCTGGCGAGCCAGAGCCGCACACGGAAACGCCGTTTACCTTCCCGCTAGTAAGCGGTCCCTATTTATCTACTTGCACCCGGGGGTGCTTTCGAACTGCTAGGTTGGCAGGCGCTGGGACCGAACAACGGGAGCGCACCCCGCCGCGGGGATTCGAACCGCCGACCTTTCAATCGGCAAGCCCTAGACGCTGAGGCTTTTACCCACAGCGCCACCCGCGTCCCTTGGGAAGTAGTGTAACATGTCTGCAAAGTATTTACGGTAAAGTTTTCAATAAAACTTCTGGTGAGATTGTAAAATAAAAAATAAAATAAAAAATTGCAATCTAGCCCAATATTGATTGGTGGCAGCTTTTCTGGATTTCGGACAGGCACCTTTCCCGCACTTGTTATCTGATCCTTTTGATATGGGATGCTGGGAATCAAACTTGGCACAGGCTGCACGCAAGACATGTGATTTACCACTTTTCTGTGATCTATGCCCCTCCCCACTATTTTGGATCCTGGCCATAAATCTTACTGATACATTTAAAGACAATAACACTGAGTGTCAGATTTCTTTTTCAGCTCCTCCAAACACATTGCTACTTTAAAGCAATCCTTGACTTTGATAGATGAGGAATGACAGTTCACCTCATTATTTCTCTGTTTTTGCATTTTAAAACTGCATCTCTGCCACTCACTCAGAGCAGCGCGGAAGAAAGTAGATGACAACGGAGCAAGAAGAGTTGGTTGCTGTGCCTGTTTAAGACTACGTTAAACTCTACCTGTGATATTATTAAGTGCTGTGACCTAACACGTTGCTTGATTGCAGGAAACTTTTATTTTATTTTATTTTATTAAAACAGTCTGTGGAAAAAATAAACGTAGCATTAAGATTGCAACACCATTTTACATAATCTTAGGGCATTAATGGTCAATATAGGCTCTCCGCAGAAACGTTTGTGAAATTGGTGGGAGAAATTTGCTATCTACTTCCCTTACATAAGAAAAGAAGGGGGAGCAGGTTTCATCAAAGGTGTCTCTCTTTATAACACCCTTTGCTATCCTTTGCCCAGTTATTCACTCTGAAATAGCCACATCCAAGGTATTGTAGAACCAAACCTCAAGGCTGGAATTCCAAAAAAATATGCTATCACCAAATGTGCAGCCAGGGCTTTTTTCCCCAGTCAGAACTCAGTGCCATTGCCATTCTAAGAGAATGAGGGAGGTGTTCTAGAAAAACAGCATTGTATGCAGCTGTTAGTAGAAAGAAAGTTAGCTCTTAATGTTGAATAATAAGATCAGAATCTACCTGTGATATTCCTAAGTACTGTGACCCAATAAGTTGCTTGATCACAGGGAACTTTGAAGAATTTAAACTGGTGATATCCTTCAGAGATTTCCAATCTGCCCTCTCATTGGGCCTTATATCAGATTCCATATATAAGACTGGGGTGGCTGTCCTGTGGCCCTCCAGATATTCTGAACCCCAACTTGATCTTTGGCCATGCTGGCTGGTGTTGATGAGGATTGTAAAGGGGAAAAAAATAAAAAATAAAAAAGGTAAAGGACCCCTGGGTGGTTAAGTCCAGTCAAAGGCAATTATGGGGTTCTGGCACTCATCTCACTTTCAGGCCGAGGGAGCCGGCGTTTGTCCACAGACAGCTTTCCAGGTCATGTGGCCAGCATGACTAAACTGCTTCTGGTGCAACGGAAGACCATGATGGAAACCAGAGTGTACTGAAACACTGTTTAACCTTCCTGCCACAGCGATACCTATTTATCTACTTGCACTGGTGTGCTTTCGAACTGCTAGGTTGGCAGGAGCTGGGACAGAGAAACGGGAGCTCACTCCGTCTCGGGTATTCGAACTGCCGACCTTCTGATCGGCAAGCCCAAGTGGCTCAGTGGTTCAGACCACAGCGCCACCCATGTCCTAAGAGGTGAGGGTTGTAGTTCGGCAACATCCTGAGGTCCGCAGGTTCGCCTCCCCTGCTATGAGAATTTGCTACCATAAAGCAATGTCTTCTGTTTCAGTTAACTGATTCCACTTGTGTTTATGTTCTACATTTGGTTTGCTTCTATTGATTTAACTGCTGCTCTGAGCAGACTTCAAACGTTATGGGCCCTGTAAGGAGCACTGCAGAACAGAGTATTTTGAGCAACCTGCACATGTAAAGTTAATACTGGAGTAGACTGTTAACTTCAATGGAATTGCTTTTTGGTGCCGGCAAGAACACCCCTGCATAATAATATCAGACAGAAGACGACTTCTATGTAGCTCCCCACTTTTCACGGTAATGTTCTCAAGTTTTCGAAATGGTCCCTTTGTTTGTTTACCCGCGATTCTTATTGTTCCAAGTGGAGGAGGCAGGGTGACAGAGAGAGAGAGAGAAGGCAAACATAATTGGAACAAAATGTCTTTTGTCATGCTAATAACGAGTGTCATCATTTTATTTATATTGTGGATTCCCCCCCCCCAACACAAGAGCACTTCAAAGAGCAGAGAAGAATAGAACAGAAGAACATCATGAAATAAATGTGGAGCTCCCCCCTAATGAGAAACCGGTTAGAAAGGAGGCAAGCGGGCAAAACACAAACAACTGGTGGACCACGTTGGCACATCTAACGTGTACCAAGCCGTTCTAAAGGATTTGCTCAGGTGCAGCAAACAAAGATGGGAAAACTGAAGCCTTAGCTCACCAGCGACACACAGCTGGGAAAACAATTGCAGTTGGTGACATTCAAACACAAGATAAAGACCTAAGACAGACTTCTAGGGTAGGTGAATGAGATGAGAGCTTGCAGGCAGCCTAGCCATCCTGACCAAAATGTATTGTGCCATGCTAAAAGTCTGCCCTTTCCCAACTTCCTCATCTGGAAGCAGTACATCAAATAATATTTTTTCACAAATGAGCATCTTTTAAAGCTGGTCCTATGTTACTGAGCGCAGCACTGAAGATATATGCCTTCCATCCGATGACATTCACATCCAGGATGTAGGACAATAATGTGGTACCTTATCACCTGAACACCTTCCTCCTACCAGATAAATGATGACCACTTAAGTTCCAGTATTTCACAGTTTAAAAAAGAGAGAGAATATTTCTGCCTATTTAACACTTTCTCTGCCTCTTCCCACTTCATATGACCATTATATATTGCTGAAAGCTTTTCTCTGCCTCCTTGCATGTTACTCTGCATTCATTTACCAGCCCTAGCCTGGGTTTATGTTTTATTTTTTTTTACCAGGGTGTGCAAGTAAGCCAATCACAAGTGTTTTTGCTTTTTTTGTTTTGTTTTAATAAAAACTGCCCACTACAATGCTTCAACTCACAGTGGATACATCTGGTTGCATGTATTATAGAAGAACTGCAACACAGTCACATTCCGAAATGTTTACTATCCGATGGTTATGAAGGAGATAAAAGGGGGAAACAGTGGTCTGGCATTTTATATCCTTGTGGATTCATTTCCCTTAATGTGCACTAGAGTCAAGATGTAGCCACACTTCGCTCCTGAGATTTAAAGTGTAGAGGCTCAGGAGGAGTAGGCTGAAATCTGAAGAAGCGCAGAGAAATGTAATTTAACATAAATTAATGTAATCTACTCAAAAGGCAAAACAGGCAGAAGGTGACAATGATTTGCCAGGAACACTGATTAGAAAATAAGGTGTACCCTTGATCAATTGGGGCAGAGGGAAAAAGCACAATCAGTTGGTAAAATCCTATTTGATCTCGCCCATGGGGAAGCAGTTTCCATGCTTCAGCAAGTTTTGCAAAGTAGCCATTCTCATTGAACAGATTGGGAAATTCAGATCAATCAGCATGGCATGTGGAAATGGCCTAAGGTAGAGAGAGAGAGATGAGTAGATCTCAAGAATGTGCACTTTGATGAGCCATTGATTCATCTTGAATAGATTTTAAAACACAGCTACACTATGACATTCACCATGTCTCTTGCGTAGTGAAAACAGTCTGGAAAGCACTGGCGCTTTTAAGTCTATTTTGAAATAATTTTTTATCAGCTATTCAGTTCCATCATGGTGGTTTTTGAAAGCTGAGATATAAGGATGCAGTCCAAAACATACTTTGCTGTGAGTAAATCCTATTGAATCCTATTGAAATCAGTGGACTATGATGTTGAAAACGCTTCGGAAGTCAGACCGTGGGAAGTCAAAAAATTAAGATTACAATTTGGAAGACAATTGGACTTTTTATTTTATTATTTTATTTTTATTGGATTTGATATGTTAATTAGATGTTCTTATTGGAAAATTAATAAACGCTTTAAAAGAAATCAATGGTGTTAGTGTCTTACTCGACATTATTAGGATCCAGCTTCACATTTCAGAACTGCTTAAAGTTAAGCTTCAGCATTGAAATTTCTTGAAATTAGAGGCTGCTTCAAAAATTGCATTAAGCCATTACAAAGGTTTCACTTGCTGAATATGTTAGTTAATACAGTGGCCATGACTTCTGCATGAGAATCCATTGATCACATTATTCACTATTCACTATTTATCCATTTATTATATTTCACCCTCCTTTTCAGACAACTGTATCAAAGCAATTCACATCAATTAAAACCCCCACATATAATACAATGGAAGACACAGTTGTATGAAGCTATGGAAACTTGCAACGTAGCCTAAATTAAACCTTTCCAACAAGGTTCGAAAAGTCAAGAAGAAAAATGAGCTTTGTATGCATCTACCTTAGAGTTTACAATTCATTATCAATCAGTCATGGGATGCTGCCTGGGTAGATTTTGAACACTGATCTGGATTTCTAAGAAATGTTTTTAAATGAGG